TCTGAATTTTCATAACTTTTTTAACAGTGAGCCATACTTGGTTTTACTTTGTAATGTGTGTCAGGCAGGTATCTACGCTTCCCCCTCATTGTCCTTTTATGCTCGGGAATGTTAGAGTTGGAGTCGGAAACGGTTGGTGCCTGCGGCTGCCCATCAGGTACATCACCTACATCCAAAATTTCTACTCCACTCTGTGCATCATGAACAGATTGGAACCAAGACGTTGTCAAAGTACCATTGGTGCCGTTAGTGCCTTGCAACCCGTTGTCCTCGTTATCTGATCGAAAACAAGATGGGGTTAAAATACCGACGCTGCCGTTAGGGCCTGGCAAGTCGTCAGCTATACCATCAGATTCGGAACTGGGTGGTGTTAAATTACCAACGGTGCCGTCAGTGCCTGGCAACCCGTTAGCTTCAACACCAGAATGAAGGAAAAGGGGATTGCACGGCTCACTCTGCGTCGCAAACAAATCACCGTCATTATCACGACAGATGCAGACTTCAAATACTTCACAGGGTTATCGGAAAAGTCATTTGAGGTATTGTATAAATTCTTAGGAGGATATGAGGTGTGCTCTCAACTTAAGTACGAAATTGATACTAAATCTCCAAATACAGTACGTGGTAGTAAAGACTTTCCTAAGGGTCATTTACTTATGACACTGGTAAGACTGAGACGTGGATATTCCGAAAGAGAAATGGAATTTTTTTTTGACCTATCTGATTCTTCTATAAGCAACATTTTCAAAACATGGATCAGACTTATGTCCATAAAATTGTAAGCTTTGGAACCGGCCATGTTGTCCCTGTAGAGGTCCAGGAGAAAAATAAGCCAGGTTGCTTCAAACCATTTCTGAATTTAAGATGTGTTGTTGATGCCACTTTAATTAAAATTCAGAAATCAAAGAATATTGAACATCAAAGCAACGCCTACTCATCTTATAAGGGCACCAAAACAGCAAGTTTATTGTGGCATGCTCTGCGTATGGTGGTCTGTCATATATAAGTGAAGGTTTTGAGGTTAATATATCTGGTTGCAATCTGGTATTTTAGATCATATCAACGCAGGAGAGGCTGTCATGGTGGATAGAGGATTCGATATTGAAGGGGAACTCAATAAGCGTGGCATTGATATAAATTATACCTCCTTTTCTCCATGATCGTCAGGCATTCACAGAAAGAGAAATGTATATTGGGAAAGCAGTGGCATCATTCAGAATCCACATTGACACACTAATAGGGCGCATAAAAAATTTCAAACTTGTGAGATTTGTGTACCTAAATACTATGCTAGATATCTTGTCTGATGTTATGCTTGTTTGTGCAGTATTGTGCTATTTTAATGATCCATTTGTAGTGTGGGATGATGAGGATGAGGAAGCTGACAATATGTAAGAGAATAATGTGGAATGAGCCCACATGTATGATACTAAATGCAACTTATATGTATTCTAACATGACTTGTTTTTTTATAAACGTACC